CAATTTATTCACACAACATCATAATTTGCTTTACGTAATTTTACAATTACAATGAATAACACAGTGAAGACAAAAATATATAAGGAAAATTATGAAGCCACGTGACTGCGCTGATGTGATTATGTGCTCGAAACCTAACCCAGTTGTTAATACTTTATCACTGTGTGATATATCAAGTAAACTTATCTAATATGCTTTTCAAGTATTGGTTTTGTGGGGATTTTGTTTGACTGATTGGAGGATCTCATCATGAGCTGACATCAGTTAGTGAACCTGGGAGTATTGGACAGCTGTTTCGGTTGTCCCATTTTGGGACTGCTCGGATGTTCGCACCCACCTCCAGAGCTCGAACCAAGGACCTTCTGGTTACCGTTGAGCCACTACGTCATTGGATCTGGTCCCGGTGGCCTAATGGTCTACGAGCTCACTATGTAACCAGAAGGCTCTGGGTGCGGTCCTGTGGTGGCTGCGTACCGCTGAAGAGTCCCAAACTAGGATATTGGAAACAGTTGTCCAGTACTCTCAGGTTCTCTAACTGATGTCAGTTTATCCAATATGCAGTTATAATTTACAGTACAGAGACCGAATTCTACTCCTAGTTATCACTAAATTCTGTGTTCAATTCAGATCACCAATCATTATTACGTTTTTCTTCTTGCTGAGAATAATTACTAGGTAATTTGTGTTACATGTATATATATGTTATATATATATATGTCAACGTGCGTCGGTGGCACAGCGGTTACGACTCTCGCCGACCATGCACATGGTTCGGGGTTCGATCCCCTACCGACGCACACCCGATATCAATGGTCGGACTGCGAAATTTGGGCTACAGATATCACATGCTGAAAATTCCATAATTGTACCAAAAATACGATGTGGAGTCAAGCTAAAATTAAAAAAATATATTCGTTACTATGGTGTTGTCACCTGATGTTACCTCCCTGTGGTTGTCGGGACTTCATCCAGAAAGATGATAAACAGAATGGAACACCTAAATCTTCAGAAAGGTTCTATATTCATTCTGTTAATCAATCACTTGACTTAATACGTTAGAGGTTAGTGTAAATGCCTCTAATACAAACTAAATAACTTTCATATGAGATGCATTGGGTTTTTTCATAGTCTGGTTTACTCTACTGTCGGTCCATCCACGTTACATTACGCAACAACTAGAGTTTCTTTCTCCTCTTTTTTTCAGATATCATCGAAAACGACCACTTGTCTGAACAGAGATTGATTCAGTCCTCCATAGAATTTTACAAATATCTTATAGAGGAGAAAATGAAATTCATCAGCACAGAATGCTGTCAACGTGATCAGTTATTTAAACAAATTCTACCAGAACTCAGGAGGTTATTCAATGAAATTAATCAATTCTTTGAAATTGGTAAATCAATTTCTCAGCAAATTGTATCATCTAAAGTGGATAAAATGCTGGCTTTACCATCGAGTGAAAATGTTGACGTTCATCAGGAGAACAACAACAACAACGATGGAGATAATAATGATGACGTTTGTAAATGTCAAAATTGACGTATCTTCAGATAACAAATAACAAATACACAAATGAATCACAACACTTTGAGATTGACTCAACTTTGCAGTAAAAAATTTAGGCTTGATTACTTTTTTTTCTTTCCGTGATAGATTTATTTTACAGAAAATAAAGTTTTATAAAATACTTTTGTGCTTATGATGATGACAGAGTATTGCTGTGTGTGTGTATACGTGTGTGTGTGTGTGTGGAGAGAATCGATTGACTTCTGAGTAGTTCTCATCAATCACTGATATGAGCAGAGTATAACTGTTTCAGTGTGAATAGTGAAGGCTTATCTGACAATATTATCAATTTGTGTCATGACTTACCAATGACTTGAAATCAATCTATGTATAATAAACGCATGAAAGAGGGCGAGTCATTTAGCGTGGAAAAATCACAATGCAGAATTTTACTGGTAGTATCCAGTCATCGCTAAATTAAATGACCACTTCCCAATGATTCGGCGATATAACACAGTGACACTATGATTAGTTTTGCGAATAGATAATTCTGTATACAATAGTCACGTATTGTACATTGAATGCCATTGTCTACTTAAACAAAGTAAAGATTACAACCAGAGTGAGTCAGTCGGATTTGTTAGATCGAATTCAAAATTTGCGAATTAATTCGCAATTTCTATTTTTTGTGATTCGTGGTAAAATTTCCCCACAGTTTCTAATGTAGTGAAATTATTCAGATTATGCAATATGTTTGATCTGCTTGATAGCATAACTAGTAGTTAAGGAAGCAAGCATAGACACATGATGGTTTTGTATTATTATTATTATTATTTATTATTGCTTCCTTTAATTCCTAGAGGAACATAGGGCTTCAGCCGTGCGTCTCCATTGCGTTCGGTCCTCTGCTAGAGTCTTCACCTGGTTCCAAGTCTGCCCACACGCCTTCATCTCCTCTTTACATGACCTCCTCCAAGTCACCCTTGCACTGACGACCAACTCGCCGCTTCCCTTTCGGGTTCCACTCGAGCAATGGCTTGTCTAGTGATGTCACTTGATGGTTTCCTCACAGTATGGCCAATCCAATCCATCTCCATTTCTTCCTGCCTATTTGTTTCACAATCGGTTCCTGGTTGGTTCGCTCCCGGAGATCTCTGTTGCTGATCTTTTCTGGCCATCTGATCTTGAATATTGACGGTTTTGTACTACTGATTAATTTACAAGAGTGTATTTGAACACCACTCAACATTAACCAATAACGCTTGTCAGAGGATTAATGTGAAAATTGAGAATGTGATAAGCTCGGAGTCAAAGGAACAAAATGACCAACTGGTATCTAAATCACTTTTATCTGGCCAGAAACCACCGGTGGTTGATGTGAATGGTGTCAAACCACTCACGTCAATCAATCAGTAGTATGTAGCGCCGTCCATTTATAGTCGGAATTGTATAATTAACATTTAAAAAATTATAACAGGATTAAGTGTTGTTAAGTGGTTCAGAGTACCTTCAAAGAAGCCTCTGGCCTGGATTTCGTATTCGTCTAAAGCAATCAGTAAACAGCTTCTCAAATCTTGAAGGAATTGATGTTCCCATGGAGATTTGAGACTAAATGCTGAACTAATAGGTGTTAAGTATGCCGTTGTCCAACAGGAAGTAACCAATTCTAAGCGTCTAGTGTCCTTGGTGTTGTTGCTAACTGAATTCCATCAGCCAAGTATGAAACTAGGTGACCAAACAAGGTAACAGTCCACTTTTTTGAAACAATACTTGATGGCTGAAAGCAGTCAGCATGAGGCTCTGCATCTGCTGTTTCTTGCTTATTTGCACTTGTCCGCAAGGCATTTCTGTAAACCTGAGGGAATTTAAGTCCCTTCTGATATGTAAGTTCATCGTCACTCTCAGTGAAACGGTTGCAGATATCACCACAGAGCTCTTTAGCCTCAGTGTGTGTAATTCGAAGTCTTGCATCCAAATGTTCTCAGTAAAATGTGATATATAAATGTATTAAGAAAGTATTATGCTAATTCTAATATTAAAAATGAAATATTTTTGTTAATGATAATCAAGGTCACACATAGTGCTAGGCACTCAATATTGGGTATTCTAGATACTTTTGATCATGACAAACAAGGAGAATTACTAGTTAGTATTGAATAGTAGTTACAGTTGCAAATTTAGACTGTCAACAATGCTAATGGGTAATTAATATGAAATGAGTTTATTACCACTTGTAATGAATGGTGAAACATATATATATATATATATATATATATATATATAGACCTTTATTGTTTGCAAAATTCATAATTGATTAAATGATTTGTTAAGGTCAAATCAGTTATGTTATCTTTATTAGTTATTAGGCTTTCATTTATTATAACAAGGTATTAAGCTATTTTTCAATTATAACTATACAAAATCATCCATGTACTTACTGTTGAGTAATCACAATAACTTTAGTAATTAGATAAACTCTACATATGATATTATTAATAATAATAATAATATTCGTTCCTTGGCTTTAGTGGCCTACCTCAATCGCATTGTATTCTCTAACATTGGTTCCAATTGTCATACCGACCACCTACAAGCTTTCGCTAATTCCTCACATTATCTTCCTCCAAGTCGCTATCATATACCCACCTCGTCACTTCTAATTAGTGTTCCATTCGAGGACCTGGCTGACATGTTATAATACCATTTGCATGTCACCACATAGCATATGGAATCCATTCACCTACATTTTCTTTCTGCATGCTTGTTAGGAGGTAGGTTGTTTGCTGGCTCGCTGTTAGAGGTCCCTATTAGTTATTCATTCTAGACAGCTACTTTGTCTTCAGAATCCATGCAGAAAATGGGATAGACGTTGATATAAGCTTGGGGTGACCTGATGAAAATGCTTTAGATGAAATCAGAGACAAGTCTCTGAATCATATAGAGTCACAAACATAAGATTAGTATTGAAAATTACGATTTTGTTCCTTCTGTGTGTGCGTCTGCACACTGATTGTAGACTACTGAATGTATTACCTTGCTTCCCCGATCTTGACTGGTTTTGACATGCGATAGAATAGTGGTGCAAAGTTTAGTCCATTCAAAATCACTTGAAGCGTAAGCACAAAAGTCGAGTTTTATTTGATCGGAAAAACACTTTAGCGAAAGCTAAACTACCAGATAGATGGTTTGAGTACCATATGAGGCAGGTATTTCCTGATAACTCCGAAGAGTGGAAAAAATTCCGTTGATGTTGACCAAGGAATGACACAAGAAAAACACTGTCAACTAGAAATATATTCTCAAAATTAAGGTGAATTCTAACCAGGTAGGAATAAAATTGACTGAATTCAACACACAACTTTGCACAGATATGCAGAAGTTTGTAGCACACAAACCAACAGAAGAGAGTAAACGGAGATTCAAAAGATAGATTATAAACAGAAGTGTGAGTGAGGGAAAAAGAATAGCAATATAGAAGAACAATAAACTTTTCGTAGATTTGAAGAATTACAAAGAGTGAATGCATCTGCGCCAACCATTGACAACGATTTTCAGCCACATCACCAGTTGTCTCCAGCATTAATTGGTTTTCACCATCCCGATGACCCCAACCAGTTAGGAAGTCTACACCTTCCAACGTGGCTGCTTTAAACTAACTGCTTTGGACTTCATTGATTGATGAAGCCATGTTTTGGTTTGACCACCACTGGCTCTTTTCAAAGCTGATCCATCCTATGTCAGCTAACATTGACCGTCGGTAGAGGAAGGCGATGCCTAAGTATACGTGACACAGGTTCTAACCATCTCAATCGATGTAGCTTCACAGCCTCGTCGATTGATTTCCCCTCCTTACCTACCCAGCACTCGACCGATTCCTCACCTCAACATTGCTTACTCTATCATCTAACACGGGATGTAGGTAGAACGCAGACATCTATGACCAAATGCAGCTGGCTGGGCTTTTGATGTCTTCCACTTTCAGTGGCCAGGCCTCACAGTCATACAAAAGGACAGAGTGGACTGCTGAGCAGCACACACGCCCTTTGGTCGATAACCAACCGAATGTCACTTTTACGCCGTAGATGGAGCAAGTTGGCAAATGCCAAATGAGCCTTCTGTATCCGTGCTATGATTTCTTGAGAAATCAACCTATTGGGGTTGACCCAACTTCCCAAATAAATGAAGTGGTCAACACGTTCTACTATTTGCTTCGCTACCTGGTTTCACTCTTTGTGATTTGCCATATCTATGAAATCCTCATGTTTTTTTTTGTGTTGTTATTCTTTCTCTCACTCATTCTTGCTTATTACAATTCTTTTGAATCTGCTTTCTCTTACTTTGTGTACCATGTGGAGTGTCAATTCTATGCAAAGCTCCGTGTTGAAATTCAGTTTCAGTCAAGCATGGGGAAGGATAGATTGCCTAGTTGAGATCAGTGGTATGGATCAAAATCGTTATCAATGGCACAGGCATATCTGCTACTTATAATCTTCTAGAAAATCCTTACCGAAGTTCATTTAACTGCTTTCTGTCCCTCTCTCTCTTCCCCGTGTATATCTTTGCCCATTGTTACTACAATTTATTTCTTTCCTCTATCATTGCTTGAAGATTTCTGCTGTGTGCTACCTTGAACTGCACTCATATCCATTTAGCACTGTCTAGTTTGGGAGAATTTTAACGTTAGAAGGGAATTAAGCAAGTCTGATGTGAGGATAATTAGTTATTCACAGATTTTTAGGATTCTGATTCAATTGCAAAATTATAACGTGCTCTTCTTCACGAACATTAGGTAGCGCAGGTTAGGCGTGTTCAGTTGACAAAAGTTTGAGAGTAATATTTTGGTATGGTCTTCTGAAAGAATCTTGGGTAGCACAACAATAGATTAAGTCGCAAAGAGAAGAAATGAAGATCATTTTGAAAGTTTAGCATAATCATGAAACGAGGGCGAAAAACGAAGCTAAGTAGGAATCACTTTTCCAGACTAAAGTTTCAGTGTACATTTTCTGCATATTTCGACCTCACTAAATGTCTTTTTGCCATAGGAACAGTCCTTCTACCAGATACCATTTTGTTTTGCCATTAAGATCAGTTTAATTGTCTCTTCCACAGACGAAGGTGCCGTAGTCGCAGATCTTTCAAAAAAGGAGACGTGGCATTTCTGAGGGACTTCGAAGGTGTCGTAGACTGTCACAATGAAGGACCAGAAGGCGAAATTAACAATCCTATTAAGAGGCTGAGTGACAGTTTGTGTGGACCTAGAGCACAGACATCATGGAATTCCATCGAGTAGCTAATTTCAGAGCCTGACAGCCCAGTGTCGCGGAAATTTATCGACTTACAGCTTGGTGAAGGCAGATATCCACTGGTTTTGCCGGTAACGCTGACACATATGTGGCTTATTTTGACAACGTTAGACTAACATTGGAAAGTATAGTTGTCAGCTTTCCAGTTTATCGAATGTGTTCCTGATAATATCACCAGACGTCTGCAAATAACAATGCAGTACGACCTAAGGACATGAATAAATTGGTGAAAAATTACAAGATATTGAATTAGCCGGACATTCACACACTAGTGATCACTGAGTTCCGAGAAGCCTTGCGTATTCTTTTCGATAGGAAACAGCATACACATGTGTACCTACAAAAACCATTAGTTACAACACTTGATGGATTTTTTTAATGGGCGTACAATATTCAGGTCGAACAAAGCATACGAAGTGACTTTCAAGATCTTACACATCTGTTAGTCAACTGCTGCACACCTCTCTCCACGTGTTCCGCGCCTAAACCCAAATGCATTAACCTCCTAATCTTCCCAATCAACAACAACAAGAAGAAGAAAAATAAAGCATCATCAATGGTTCTCGTAATTTCTCTTCTAATTCATCCAAGATTCCAGGATATAGAATGTGAAATATTGAAAATAATCAACAGGTTCAGGAAAACACAAAAAAAGTAGACAACCATTTTTGAAGATAAATATTTTTTTTTACTGTGTTATTTTGTTTTTTTCCTTTATCTTGCTCATTATTAAATCATAAGAGTTTGTTTTTTTAAAATGAGTTGTGACAAAAAAAGTATCTTTCAATAAATACGTTATCCAGTATTTTAACCGGCGTTAGGTGGGACAGGTGTGGGGTGAGGCCAGCAGTAGCAGCAGACAAATTCAACACGGAGGCAAATACAGTGAGAAGGGAGGGGGGGCAAAGAGATGAGATGAGAGGAGAAAAACAAATATGTAAATCACGTGTATAGCTCAGTCTCTCTCCTTCTTTGTCTACACGAGAATAACGTGAACACATACACACACACACACAAATAGACACCTGAATAGACGGACTGGAACGTACACATTCATAAATGCAATAGAAGGCAGAAAATTATAATTCAAGGAAGTCAATCAATTTCAATTAGGTAAATTATTATGAAAAAAACAATCAGTTAATGTACTATAATTGTTGTTGTGCAGTGAATTTTATAAAGACAACAAAGACAACAGGTAATGACGTAAGGACGATTGCATTGATCCACCTATCACACACACACACACAGACAAATATGAAGGATAACTGACGTAAATAATCACAGGAAGAAACGTAATAAAGGTAAACACAGAAAGCAACAGAGAATGAGGCGAGCAGATTACCTAAGTAACTAAACAAGCTTACTGACTGGCTGGCTGACTGACTGACTGGAACATTATACATTTTGATCAGCAGTGGTAGTGCATTCAAGAACCGGGGTTAATTAATTAATCAATCAATCAATATACATTACATTCTACACAGTAAGGGGATATGAATGCACATACACATTGTAAAAAACACCAAACCACACACACACACAAACACAGATGCAGCAATCCATCTCCGTATTATATAATAATAAAAGAACTTTCAGAATATGCAGATTAAGCAGTCATTATAAATTGTGAATTGAGTTAAAATGTGTCTAATCGTAGCAGTGCCCATAAACACACACATCATAGTGGAATAAGAATACACACCAGCGGAGGTACAAAAAAAATCTGCATACATTGGCGTAATTTAAACAGGCTGGTGTGTAAATGTGGATGGCGGTGAGTGTGATACATACAATACAAAAACACACAACTCTCATTGGCGATAACAATAACGGTCAAGATTTATACAGCACTCACTGCACGTGCACACGCGTAAATACATACACACAAAGAAGACAATAAATAAAACAGAGACAAGAATATCAATGTCAGTGAAAGAAGAACATACTCACCACAAATTGACACTTATATGTGAAAGACCAAAGTCACCTATGCTTAAGCATAAGTATATAATATATAAAACACTTAAAAAACAATGTCCAAGAGAAGAGCATAGGGCAACAAGCCAAATTCTGTACACAATGACACATTATTATAGATGTACCTCTTTTAATTAATGAAAGAAATCAAGAGTGACTAAAACAACAAAAAACAGGAGGGAAAAATCTTGTATCTATCTGTCTGTATAATTATAGATGAATAAATGAATGAATAACGCTCAGTTTTATCGATAGATAACTAACCATATATATATATATATATATATACATGGTATGCAAGTACTGTGTTTACGTACGAGGTAGAAGACATGAATGATGAGAACAACTCAATCAAAGCTTCACATCATCACAAGAACACATACGCAAAATATCATTATTATGTAATCACAACACCAGAAGCTGAAACAGCAGTGTGTTTGTGTGTGCGTGTGCGTATGTAAAGACACACTAAGCTACGAAAAGGACGAATTAATCAACTACTTCATTATATCATGATTTTAATTTGATTCATCTGTGAGAAGACGTGAAAACTGGGATGGCAGGGAGGAAACGCAACGACTAGAAATTTTGGCTATTCGACGACGACAATGAAGAGGTGACAGAAGTGGAGGATGTTAACGGTGGCGGAGAGGTTGTAAGAGTTACTGTTGTTGTGTTCGCTACTGCTATCGCCACTTCCGCTTCCTTTGTTGGCGACAATGATGACGTTGATGATGTTGACGGATTTATGTAGACACTTGTAATCATAGGATCATCTGGTATGAGGCATAGATCTTCTAATGGACCAATAGACTCAGTCATTACAGATGGAGGCAAATCTTTCCACATGGAATACACCTCTGAACTAACTGTGTACGCTGATGGGGATGAGTCATTGTCATTATTATTACCGTTGTCTGGATTCAATACTCTTGGTGTTGATGCAGTAGAATTTGCCAGACTTGTTGAATGAGGTGTTGATTGAGCAAATTTTAAATAGCTCCCCAATGTGAAACTTTTGTTACTATTACTATTATTATTACTTGAACTATTGACACCATTGATACTGCTACTATTATTATTATTATTGGGCGTACCATTAGTGGCGGTATTGACAACATTAGAAGTAGCACCAATACCAGTCGACATAGTCGTATTTGAATTGTATTCTAAAAGTTTATCACAGTCTAGTGAAGATTTTCTCCGCATGCATAAATCATGATTATCTAGAGACTGACTACCGCTGCCAGTAGCAACTTGAAGACGTTGAGAAGTTAACAAACTTTCATATTGATATTCTAATTGCAAATAACCTTGTTTACGTTCGGCCAGTTGGGCTTTCAACTCCATTTCACGACTTCGCCACATAACACCATCAGCTTTACGCTAAGCGGAGAAACAGAAACGAAAAGAAACAAAAGGAGATTTAATTAAGGTATATTTGAGAATTCGATTAAGCTTAAAAGAAGAGCCGTTTTAGGGACTTTAATCAATACCCAAAACGACGGAAAGACAAAAGACGCTTTAACGAAGCAGTGGCAAATGAAGCAGAACAGGTTTCAGGCAAAAGAGACCTCACAATACATTATGAAATAACCAAGTCGCTTTCCCGGAAAATATCGATGCACATGAAGACCGTTGTAACCGATTGAACCAATACATGGGTATAGGGACACCGAAATACGATAGGCCACTCGACTGAATAGCGAGTACGACATATATGTCTCCCATAAGAAGTTTCTACTGCACTGTGCCACGAAAATATCAGACTGATCAGTGACTGTCAGAACGTCTTCAATATATAAAATACATCATACATATATACACTCCCAACAGACAAAATTATATTAGGTAAACTAATTTATTTGGTTGTATAAGGTTGAAGATTTCGTATGAGATCACTTAGACGTAAGATCGTAAAAATAATCGTAAAATCGACACACAAAATCGTCCATCTAAGCAGACAACTGGCTGAGAAATGTTGACTCTAGTTTAAGCTGCTTACTACCAGGCATCATTCAGATTTAGACAAGTCAGTAGTCACCATCATCATCTGGATACCACGATTGAATACAAGACCTGACCTACAAGCTACATTTATGGTGCCATGATGTGAACAAGTTACCACCAAGTCATCCGAGAACTCAGAATAAAATGAACCTAATGGATGGGCCTTTGAGTGGCACAGAATGGTTGTATAGCTCTGTTTATCTGTTACTCTGCTTAGGTGATTTGAACACAGGCGCATCAGGAGGTGGAGATATGGCCCAGACACAAATGGGCCCCAGGTTCGAATTCTGCTCCACCTAACTTTAGTCTAGGCAGTTGAGTAGCATTACTAGTCTTCACACAATAATTGTGCTGTAACGCAGCCCGGTACCCGGTAACCGAGTTCTAATCAATCAATCAATCCAAAATCAAGAAGCCTTCTATTTAAGTTTCATGGTTGTTGGCAGCATTCGTTGGTCAGCAAGACGGCATATCTGTAAAACCCCAAAGGTAATCATTGGTAGCCACCTTGGGAATTCCAAACTCTATCACCTAATGTTACGATCACAAACCCTATCAATGATATATATATATATATATATATATATCATTGGTAGGGAAAGGGTAGCCGCGAGTGGGACGTCCAAGGGTGACATGGAGGAGATCGTGTGACCAGGAGTTGAAACAGTATGGATTAACATGGATGCAGATGAAAAGTACGGCAGAAGACAGAAGCAAGTGGAGACGCGTAGTTGAAGCCCTATCTTCCACTAGGAACCCAAGGGAACAATAATAATAATTACATATATATATATATATATATATATATATATATATATATATATATATGTATATATACAAGACTCTCAGTTGACCTCCTGCTGTAGGATGGTGGTGCATAGAATTCAAATAAAGAACTGACAACATATAAAAGTGGCCGATACTCCATAATGACGACAACTTTCAGTTTCCATTACTAATCTGGTCAGTGTGAACCACAAGCTAAAAAAATAGTAGTGGCATAGAAACGGAAGCTTACTGAAATTATACAAAAAAATAAGCCTAAAATGGATCGAGGAAATCAGTTTAAGACGCCTAAACACCCTACGAAAAATATTAATTAGAGTGGAACCGCCTGACCAACTAAGGTTTCAAAAATTAGAGATTTCAACAAAAAGGTGGCGAGATCGATGATAATAAATAGAAATCTACGGGAGAAGGAATAAGATCACGGAGGATGATAAGAATATAATAGATCAGCCAGATCACAGACAGGACTATTTCAAGCCATATCACCAACAGTTCTCAGCCAATGGATCTTAGAAACTCGAGAACCCCAGGCAGCTGCGCAGTCAGTATGTGGCTCAAACCAACCTTCAAAGACTTCATGGATAAATTATACGCCATCCGTAATTCTTTTCTAACTTGATCCTATGCCAGCCAGGTAATATTACTCGACTAGCAAGGCGATAAGCTTGGAGTGTATAACACGTATCCAAGCCATTTGAGTCGATGTAGTTTGCCAAGCTCATCGACTGACTGAGCTTCCTTACCTAACAGCCTACAAATAATCTCATTATTACTAACCATTCTGCACCATAAACACCATGTTCAACATTAGAAATTTATGTTTTCATCATTTTAAGCCTTTATTTACTGAGACAATATATTTTTTTTTTAAACTAAACATCAGATTAGAAGTTGTTGTTGTTGTTGTTTTTTCCTGAGCAAAGAAAATACCTTTAAAAATATCTAATGACGACACCCTTTCTCTACTATCGACTTCATTCATTCATACTATTTATTGACAGAAAATAAAATGCAGATTATGGATGATAAAAAAGAATAAACAAAAACAGAGAAAAGTACGATAAATCCGTGAAATTTTGGTCCAAGCATTACTCTTTTCAATGCTGCAATTCTGATTTTTATTGGCCCTTTCCGACCGACAGCTGTTAACTTGGTACATGGGGTAGTTGAGGCTTGAATGTGACTACGACCGAGAAAGCTACATGGGCAAGAACCAACGTCTTTGCAACTCTTTGTATACCAGAAAACTAGCCTAGATAGTGTTAATTGAAAGCAGTTATCGTCATGTAGTGTAAATCACCCACACCATATTGAGGATCTAGGAGAGCAGTAAGGTATTCCTTCGGATAAACAGCAAGCCAACACTATGCTTCCTATTCACTCTGAGGCGTCAGCAGCAAAAAATGTACATCTCAACTTATGTTGCAGTGATCCATTGCCAGAGGTAAGATCTTATTACTGATAGAAGTGCAAAAAGCGCTTAGAACAGGTCGTGTAAGTGTGTGACTTACTTAGAGAAGTTGTGCTCTAGGGGTTCAGCAGGCACACAACACTAATGCACCTTCTGTTTCAAGTACTCCAGGAAGAAATCAACTTCCATGGTGTCGGCAGCTAGGATGAAGTAAATGCACACACGCACATGCATAAGCCAACACAGCATTCCTCACTTTGATCTAAAATACTTGCTGATTTCTTTTGTGATGTATCCTCTTATGCATGCATGAAAAGATAAACAAAACTTCTAACAAGATAGAATCAGTTTCAGCGTTCGGAACCGGATAAGTGTGAGCCTATATATATATATATATATATATATATATATATATATATATATATAGGCTCCTCTGCTATGAATCGAGGAAGAAGGAACTGGTTCAAGAATGATTATTCAGCATTCTCAAGTGTTGGTTTGTATGAGGTATTTAGTTGATTATCCCTGTTAGGCCATGAATTGACTTAAGTTAGAAACCACGGAATGCCAGTGAGCACTGGAAAGCTGTATATTCGCAGTTCGGTGACGCAATACACGTCACAAATTAGCCGAAGTTGAAATTCATTGCCATCTCGGTGGCTAAATGATCAGCGGAATCCAGTAGTAACCTGAAGGTTTTGCGTTCGATCCCTAGCAGGATGACGAGTGCATTCTTCTGAGGAGTGACGGAACTAGACCAAAATATCTGTCTAGTACTCCCTGGGGGTTTTCAACGGTTTTCTAGTTGAAGTAAATTCATGGACTAACTTGATATTCAGTGTTCGCCTTATTACAAACTGTCACATTATCACTTTTTTTCAAGCACCAATTGATTCATATTCAGTTAATCGAATAAAGCCTCACATATGTGAGCCGATTATAACTTGCCGGCTATCAATACCAAGGAATTTGGAATTTTTTATCTTGAAGTGCTTATCTTCCTACTTATGTGAATAAGAAATAGCTTCACAAAAAAGAACACGCTAAGGTATTGAGTATTTGTATTTCACTTCACAGACGCACTTTCAGTCTGACCAATAGCGAGTTATTACTCTCCTGTGATAAGTAGGCTGAGACAGACAGAGAGAGCAAGAATTTACCGAAATGAAAATCTTATACAGGCGGAGTAGACAGAAGTAAAGATAAAACGTGATCGTGCAAAACACAATGTGATTGGAAAGAGATGGAGAGGCGGAATAAATAGATAAACCTCTTTCTCACATGATATTTTAACTATGACGCGCCTATGAAAAAATTACGTAAAAGATACAACTAAACAGCGATATGTATGCGATGATAAATAATGTGAGCAGAAAGAGAGAATAGTAACAAAACAAAAAAAACTATGCGCATACGTGTAAATGCTTCGATTGTAAAGTATGCAGTTTTAGTTATTGTACTGTATGTAAATATAGAGACGCGAAAATACGAAAAATGATGAAATCACCAGTTCATCGACTTATTCAATTCAATGATGCATAATGGTTACAAGTTACTAATTAAATAGAAGCCAATTGATTAATGATAATTAATTCAAACGTTTTTGTTCCGAGCGGAATATATATAACTTCGACAGGACATTTCCATTCCATACGGTATTCTGTCATCATTATCACCTGATACTACGACTGACCACAAGCTTTCATTTCTCCCCTCATATTCAACCTCAGACCCATGACCAACTTGTCACTTCGCATTCGAGTTCCACTAGAGGGATTGCCCGGAGTGTGATGTCAGTTGAGGGTCTCCACATTTTTTGGTTGGACAATAGGTTGTTGACTGGTTTCGCTTATCTTCTCTGCATTATCGCGATAGCAATCGTCTTTTGTAGCCTGTTGGGAGTGCTTTCCTTAATGTAACCGCCAACACTCCGGATCATAAAGAAGTATTCACTGACTTGATATCAGTGTTGAAAATTCGAAACTTATTCCTTGTGTTATATGCCATAGATCTCCTATGAATTTCGGAGTAATGAACGCCAGTGTTGCTTCTCCGATCCTGACCGGCTACTAAATCCTCATTCCTACCATCACCTGTTGTTGAAACGGTACTGACCAGGTAACTGAAAGAGACGTTTTCCTTTAGATTTCTCACACTCATGGTGATTGGTGTTTGTTGTGAGATTTATTCATTGCTGGGACAGTTTTCTTAGCTTCAATTGCTAGTGGCTGTCATTATTGAATATGGAATCCGGTATGTTATGCATGGTGTGCATTGACAAATTCAAAATATTGCAACAAGTCAATATTTTTTACAGGAAACCCGGCAGACTAGGTAACATTCACTTACTAGGATAGCCTTCGTGCCTACTGGTACTCATCAACAAGGAGTATCTGGCAACTAAAGAAATTTATTCAGACCGCGTCAGCCAGTGGTGCTCCAGTCGAAAACGATGCCACCGCGTTATTCAGGCGCACGACTGACGGCCTCCTGTAGAAGTGTGGCGAATATATTAAATTATTATTGTTCCCTTGGGTTCCTAGTGGAACATAGGGCTTCAACTGCACGCCTCCACTTGCTTCTGTCTTCTGCTGTACTTTTCACTTGCATCCATGTTAATCCATACTGTTTCAGTTCCCCATCACACGCTCTCCTCCATGTCACCCTTGGACGTCCCACTCGCCGCTTCCCTTTCGGGTTCCACTCGAGTGATGGCCTGACGCGCGATGTCACCCAGCGGCCTCCTCAGCGAGTGTCCAATCCATCTCCACTTTCTCCTGCATATTTGTTGGGCGATTGGTTCTTGTTTTGTTTGTTCCCATAGCTTCTTGTTTGTGATTCTTTCCGGCCATCTAATCTTGAGTATAGAGCGAAGACAGTTGTTGATAAAAGTGTGCAGCCTGTTGAAAATATTCTTGGTGACCCAAATGGTCAATATAAATATCGCATACCTATTAGGCAGTTTGACAGGTGAGCATCTGTCATAACAGTCAACTTTCGTGATGCAATTACACATTGTACATTTCTGATTAAACTTTGCGAATTTCAATTTTGTAATAAGCCAATGTTGTGTATTGTTCCTTGAAAATTATAGCTAAAAGTGACATGAGGATGATGACATAGTTAACAGCTGTTTCGTGTAGGAACATAGTTCCCGTGATACGTCGTTCATATTCTAGGCTATGTGCCACACAATTATTGTTTGAGGACTGACAATACCACCACCACCAACACACACACACACAAATAGAATGGAAGTGGGGGTTTGAAATTCGGTAAGGTGAAAATCCTTATTAAATGCGGAGAAAGATGATTATGAAATCCCAAAATAGCTGTCTTCTACTGTGTTGTTCATTGTGCTGTGTACTCTCTTTCTAGTTTTAGAAACCACTTCTGTTGAATAATACACACAGATTCTTATTACTCAACACCCTTACTATTACTATTATTATGAATTAATGGGGAATTGCAACCCAAAGGAACGATATTGGCATATTTGTGTTCTATGGGCCAAATTTCCATTTCTTCATTCCTTAGCGTTCCAAACGGAACATATGCCTTTAGGCTTTTGAAATTTCAGCGGTGGTGGTGGTGCTGTTGCTTTTTTACGAAGTGCGGTTGCTAGTCTGACGCCCAACCTTCCAGCTTTCTCGGGCACACTACCAGCTAGAAAACTAGATGAGGTTTTAGGAGTGCCGCTGCTAACGGGAATCGAACTTCGACTTCCTATGGGATGGACAAGCATTCTGTCATTCAACCGTCGATACGCTTTGATCCAGATGGTTTATTATGATCATTATATCATGATCACTGTTACTATTATTATTAGCATTTAAGTCACGTTTCCATTTACACGATAGACACAGATGGCATGTGCGTGTGTGTGGGTGGGTATAATGATTCAACAACAGTATCACCTGAAAAACTACACCAACTGAAGTTATAAACAGAAAGGTAAAGCGTACAAAAGTATACATAATAAAATCTATTGGAATACAACACACACACTTTATATTGTATTTCTTCTTAGTTCAAAGAAAGAAGTTTTCAAAGTTTGGAGTTTGGATTTCCTTTGTGTTTTTGTTGTTGTTGTCCTCATCATCCTCCTCATCCTTGAGCATTTAAATATAAACATAAACTTCTCCTTCTTATTTATTCTTCATGAGAAACAATAAAAATCACTTTTTTTTATTGCTTTAAAGTACTCAAAAGGCGCTGTCACTAGTTAAATGTGTGTGTGCGTTCAGTATCTAAATGACAGAACCTACCCTGAAAAGCTCACTAAGGAAACATCAGTTGCATACAAGCTGGGTGATACGCTTTGCTAACAAATGTCCCGATGAGCACAAAAATCTTACATGCAAAGCTACCTCCCGATAGCTTTAAACCATCCCAACACTGAGTATTGTGTGTGACTGATTGAATTGATAACCTGTTTTCTTGGAATGTCCTCAGGATGCTAAGAACCGATGGCTAAAGATTGTTGACTGGATTGGCTAAAAATCACTGTGAATAATGCAAATGCATTCACTTTTCTGTAATCTCCCAGATCCTTTAAATCCTCATGTTATTTCACATTACTATCCCTTCTAGCTACATGGAGTGTGGTAACGTGAACGGCTGTCCAACGGTGTTGAAACTAAGCTCAGTCAGAATTGAGACCAATCTGTACTCATACGTGAGATCTATGTGATAAATAAAATATATGAAGTATTTTGATTTGACACTAGTAACTACTGTGATGTGTCTAGTCCTTTCTTCGGTGCAGAATGAATCAGTCAGGTTTGCAATGTGGCCACCATTCTAGGTAGCTAGCCATCACGGTGCACATTGATTTGATGATAGTTGGAGGCAATCGGCAGGAAGCCTTGCTTGACTTAGGTTTCGTGCTAGCTGGCACTCGCCAGTAAGGCCTATCTGCAACTAGAATCCAATCGAAGTACTCGTCATAGTCCCACGGAAAGTCAATCGCGAGCCCGAATAGCTCAGTGGTAACGTCTCTGACTGCAGCACTGAGTGAAGGGACATGAGTTCCTTCAAGGGTGCAGATACACCTTGCTGACTGGTAAGTGCCAACAAGCACGAAATCTAGGTCCAAGGCTTCCTGTCGATTACCTCCAACCATCTAATATCATATGAGGTATTTGTTGAAATTATCGCTGAATTACCCGTTAATGCATTCTGCTGGATACAAGAGCTCTGCCTGCATTGGCACATCCACCTTAGAGTACGGCGACTTCAATGATGGGCATGTCTTAATCAACCAAATTAACTGAAGCATAACCACTTGGCAGTAACCACCGTCATGTCTTTGAGGCTCAATCATAATATTCTTTATTATTCCAGCAGTTAAATCTGCAATATGATCATAATGCTAGGCAATTCGCCATTGAAGTACAGTTTGAATTGTTAGTCAGTTAGTTATACTAGACACATGACACCGAGTACTCTCCCTAGTGCTACAGTCTTTAACTGAAGCACCGGTTCATATGGATTCGAATCATATATTCCAAGGTTTCACATACGTTTTGTTGAGGAGTATCAAGACAAATAAGGAACCCTTGATACATGGCCTTTCGCCGATCGCCTCTCACTCACTACCCATATTCACTCAGTCAGTCACATAGAGGATACAGAAGAGACAGATTCAAGGAAATTAGAAATAGTGGAAAAACACTTCACACTTACTTTTGCTTCAATGTCTGCACATTTCTGCTCCAATTGTTTTAATTCCATAGTTAATTCACGCTCTCTAGCTTGGAATGCTGTACGTGATTCAAGTAGTTCTGTGACACGTTTATCTAACCGATCAGCTCTACGATCGGATAGTTCTTGTTGTGCAGTTAAATCAGTAATCTGATTGATTAGAAAAGAAGTAATAATAATAATAATAATAATAATAATAATAATAATAATAGTAATAATAATAATAATAAAATCAAGGTTAATAAAACAACTTTTTTTGCATTCCTTTGCGTTTCTAGTGGAACATAGCGATTCAGGCTTAAAGCCTTGAAGTTTCAGTAGCCACGGTGTTGTTTTCATGCGACAAGGTTGCTAGCCACACACGCCCAACCTTCCTTCTTTCTCACACACTGACTACCGAGTAGTGAACTGCATGAGGTTAGGGAGGGAGGTGATCGAGAATCAAATGAGAAATCACATACATCGTTGGCAACCAGTCTATTATTAGACTAGCCACAAAATCTCCAACTAAGCTAATATCAGAATACAGAACGCACAACTACTCACCACTACATGGATTATGAATCCTTTATTTTCACAGTTGATAAACTGCAATGTAGATTTCATTATGAACATCTGTTTGAGAATCACAGAAAATTAAGGGGCCGTCAACGACTGTTTAGTTTAAGTTTCAGACTCTTCAGCAATGCGCATCCAGGGACTTTCAATCGACGAGGACAGCCTACTGACCATTTAACCATTGGGTTGGTTTCCAGTGACTTCTTCTGTCAATTCGTGACACAATGGATCGAAAACTAGGACAAGGCAGCTTCCCCGGTGCTCCCTAGTTCCTAATAATTCTCTGATTGATTTTGATTCGTAACAAAATCTATGCTGACATTAATTAGAATCCCAGTGGCTGAACGGTCAACGAGCTGGCATCATAACGTGAAGATTCTATTCAACAAAAAGAGGGATCGTCGACCAAGGTTAATACTCAAGGTTAGTCGGCGGCTGAAGCATTCTTATCAGTAGATAGAAGGCTGTATTTCAGTTCCCTTTTCGACATCACACACTATGAGTTGGCGACCCATTTCACTCACATCCCTTAGACATATATTACCACACCCGTCTTATTTCTATCTTATTGTACTCATATTTCCGAAAGTACTTTATCTTTTCGTTGTCTGTTTCACGCATGTCTACTGAACTTTATATTGACCTTTATTTATTTATTCATATGTGTAATCAATTTGTTACTCAACCATATAAAAGAAGTTGTAAAGTTGTATGAGTACCTTGATATGATTAAGAGTAAATTTATCAAATATATTTCCTCTATGATGGAATTATATTCTACAGTAGCGCCCAAGTTCTATTCTTATATCATATATTATGAAGACAAAGTACAACTTATACAGGGACAATGGAAACCAGTCAGATAGAGAGAGAGATCAATGAGTGTGAGGTCAACTACATAGGTCAATCAAATAGATCGGGGTCATTTAGGTTTTCAAAACATTGGAATTTAGCTAAGTGTGGAATGACTGACGTCAGAAAGATGACCATCTTAGAAAACACTGACCTTCTGCAATGCATGCACTTACATACAATTGCACAATAGGGTGGAACAGACCTACAATTCTAGAAGGTAATAAAGTTAGATGAAGGGTAGATGAAGGGGGTGGCTGATCACTGAATACTCGATCATTGAGCATATACCTAACACACGTTCATTAGGAGTGACACAACACCTACACCAGATATATGGAAAATATTATTACCAATAAAACCAAAAAAAAGATATAATGGAACTATATATAAACGAATTGATTAACAGTAATAAATTGTGTTCGAAATGTCATGAGCAATTAAATAATATGGTTTCACTGTACTTTTATTAAATAAAAATCTGTTGTAAAAGTCTCCACCATTGAATGCGTATCGTCTCGTGGACCAAAGTCAGACAGGCAGTCTACGCCTTGCATGGCTCAAAACAACAGTCAAAGACTTCATGAATTAATGCTATTTTTTAGCCTGTCCACCATGCTCGACTGTTTTCCGACGCAATCCTGTATCAGCCAACAGAACGTGACGATGAAGCCCATAACTTCGTGTGCGTAACACATGTCGTCATAGCCATTTCTTAATCGACACGGCACTACAGCTAACTATTCACTAACTGATTCTGCATCTTTTCCATTCCCTCCATTTCCGAATGGAACATACCGGCTTCAAATTCCTAAATTTCACTAGGATTGGTGATTTTTAGCGGGTGGTGAAGCTATTAGCATTAAGTTCAACCTTTTATCTCTTTCGAATTTGCTACCAGCCAGATGAGGTTTACGACTGCATCGGCCGGGAATCCGACTAGCGTCTGCGAGCACCCTACCAACGAATCATTGACGTACTTGAGAGCTGATTTCGTATGGGATGCAAAATTTATAAAATTAAGCAAACCAGCCTTTACAAAACTTTGAAATAAAGTTAGCAATGGCGTAATCATATGAAATAATATTATTAATAGCAATACCTTTTGTTTTAAACTACTGATTTGATTGATGAATCGTGTCTCCAGTATTCGATCGGAAAATTTCATTTTATTATTCATTTCTGATGCATCTAGAGAATTCAGTGAACCAATCCATAGGGATGCACGTTTAGTGTCATTGTTGACACCTTTACACTTGCCAAGATGCATCTAAATGTGCGTATGTGTGTAAAGAATAGAAGCATTACAATAATGACATAAGGCAAAAAACGGTGTAAAACGGAACATTTTGTAGAATATTGAAAGTAAAAACAGACAGTGTTATGACCACCAGATGTGAACCCAAGATACGAGTTGGAAATCTACTTCAGAGAGTCACATAACGTTGTCTCTAGTTTTGACGGTGTGTGTGTCTATCTGTTTTCAACAGAGAACTTTGTACACGCATGCGGCAGTTCAAGTCGCCACACACTTCAGAGAGTCACATAACGTTGTCACTAGTTTTGACGGTGTGTGTGTGCCTTTCTTGATTACACATCGGCTTTTGACCCTGTACCCAGGCCTGTTTTGTTAAACAAGGTTATTGTGACACAAGCAAGCTGCTAGATTATTAGGTGGTTGTGTCCTTACTTTTCTGATGCCAAGCAGTATATTGTTTACGATGGGAAGACGTCCACTGCTTTACTTACTCTAGCTGGTGTTCCTCAAAACGCTGTTCTTTCTCGTTTTCTGTCTTCTTTTCTCTCACATGACTTACCTGTCCCAGTCTGATGAAGCCAATTTTGTTAATTATGCCAATGATTTGACTGTTTCTATGTCCGTTACTACTCTGTCAGACTGTTCCAAAATGAATAACTTTTTATTAGAAATTAGTCCATTGTCCTTGTCAATTGACTTTAAGCTAAATCCCCCAAATGTCAAGTTGTTAATTTCACTTTCAAACATAAGCACGATCTACTTGAATTAGTTCGTTTGCCTGACTCTACTAACATAGATGGCACTGAAGTTGAAATTAAATCGATTGGTAAATACCTTGGACTGTGCATTTCCTCTGATTACCTTTCCTGGTCTTCCCATATCATTTTAGTTTCTAGAAAGATATTTCGTTTAACATTCTACATGAGGAAGTTGAGACAATCTGATATCACTCAGTCTCTACTTTTACAGTTTGTTAATTTTTTTATTCAACCTATCCTCCTATATTGCTTCCTCTTAATTTCTGCCGGGCTACTTAGAAAAGTCTTTGTTCTACTGAGAAGGGCGCTAAAGACGTGAATGGGGTGCCACTGAACACTTGGACTCATGCAAGAAATTGGCGAACTTCATCTTGCCGGATTCTCAGCGTGCTGTCTATATACAACTGGGTCTTTGCATTTCATCAGGTAAAACTTAGAAGCAACTACAGAAGAAAGTGCAAGCCGGGACATTACTAACTTACTGAGATACATTAAATAAAACCCCCTCTTTATTCTCTCTTTCATCATATCAACTTATATGATTATGAGCAATAAATTGTGCTCGAAACGTCATCAGTAAATATTACTGTATAACCCTGTGACTTAATTAAAAAATTTCCATCCATAATGGAATTATAATCATAATTTATATTTCGTATAAACGGGAAAGTTTACAAGAAATGTATGCCGTTTTTACAGGAACAATCAATATGATAATATGATCCTTAATATTTTCTATAGTTTGGTTTGTAAGCGTTAGTTATGTTGTTACGAGCTGATCACGTATTGATATCAGTTAGAGAACCATTGAAAAGCAGGGAGTACTGGAAAGACAGCTGTTTCATCCTAGTTTGGGAATCATCGGCAGTACGTATCCACTGGGGTTCGAACCCAGGACCTTCAGGTTACAAGGCAAGCTCGTATACCATTCAGTCACTGGGACCCGATTCAAAGGCTCATGAATTCTAACTTCTACCAATTCGTGATTTAGCGCGACCCCAACCATTGTCGTAGGTGGGACATCCATCCTCACACGTGACATCTGGATGGACCTCACTGGTCACGACTTCTCACTAGAACTGACTCCAGGAAACTCCATCCTGTAGCAAGTCACTAGCGAGCATCAGATTAATTTTCTATAGTTTGGTTTGCAAGGGTTAGTTTTCACTTAAATTTTGATTTTATATTCATAGTTTTATTTAACAGTATTATCAATGTAAATGCTCTGCTGAATTATTACGCGTGTATTATGTATTGAGAAAATTACATGTACTGTTTGTATACATGCCGAGAATTCCATATTGGTATCAAATGTACCGCTGTTTGGAATAATAACTTTATGTTTGGAATAAAGTTATCATTATCATTATTACTATGTCAGTTGGTCGTCAGTTCGAACGAGTCTTCAGGTCATCACAATCTTCACTTCAATTCTAACTACAAAATGCAGCTGGAGCAAGAAACAAAATCCAAAGTTTTAACAGTTGCATCAAGTCAGTCAGTAATTATATACGCCTAGGATAGTCGGTTCTCAAGTCACCAATAAGCACTTCCAACAACCTACTACAAACTTTCATCAACAGCTGTTTACGCTGACTGAGAATTTCAGAGTGAATAAATTTTAAGCAAAATTAGCTGCTGACCTGTCAGCAAAGTAGTCACGTCCAAGGTTATCAGAAGAGATGTTTACTTAACTCATAGATAACTGTAGAAGCGCACTTGATATTGAAGTCAGACAATGAAATCCCCTCAGGTAAATCCCATCCAGGTCACCGAATATGGCAGCATTAATATATCTCAGTGTTACGCACTGCTCTTCAAACAAAGCGGTTGGTTACCCACAGTGTCAGAAAGAACATTGAAAAAAGAATGAATGAAATAAAAACAACAATAAAAACGTTGCTTACCTGCCAAAGTGAATCTAAATCATCAAAACGCCTTTTAAACTCTTCAATCTGATTGACTAATTCTGTTTCTCTAAGTTTCGCTCCGAATAATTCATCTTTCAAGACAGCGATCTGTTCAGCTGCACGAAGTGATTGATCTGTTTTCGACTGGATATTCGAGAAGGGGGATTAGAAAGGCAGAAGTGAAAACAACACAACAGGCTAACAGCACACAAGTGGTACATAAAGATTGTGTGACAGTGATGCGTGGACCAGTTTTAAAGAAAAGTATATCAGTCAAGTCAGTAACTCATCAAATGTTGGTTTCAAAAACTTATCAAAACTGAAGAGTATTGAATGTTTGTTGTGTACTCAGTGCCAATCAACCGGAACAAATTTCTCATGGTATCAGGCTTCTTATGTAAGTGGACTACCTGAATTTCCTTCCAGCATAGTGTATAACATCTTTATCCCTTATTTGTTCTAATCATCCAATAATATTTTCGGGTCATTACATAAACTCGCGCACATATTCAATTGGCTTTTAACGTAATGCTGTGCACTTCTTGGAAGAAATAACGGAAAAACGTCTTAAGGCATTGGATGTTTCTTCAGAAGGAGCGAAACTAAGTGAAATCAATTACTTTACTTGAAGATCCTGCACAAGAAGTAAGTGAACCACTATTTTAAAAGCTTGGAATTCTGTACTCTGTTAATTTATTGTTTAAAATATAGCTATTATCATTTCTACTACTATTACTATTGTGTAAATGAGGTGTGATGACACCACTATATTTTTGCCCAAACTAGAGTAGGAGGAGTGGGGCTCAAACTTCACACTCGTTCGCTGGAAGTCAGATGTTAAGTCAATGACTGAGCCCCATTTCCATGAGCTGATTACCGATTAGTCTGGTGAAGATTCATTGTGTAAAACAATAAGCAGCTTGAAAAGGTTAACAGGGATCAAAGTGATGAAAACAATCATGTCACGAAAGATGATGTTCTTAAGAGTCTTAGGTCAACATATTTCTACAAGTAGAACAGCGTGTTGGTTGATTACTGTGAAACTGCGATCTTGTGTCAAACCGCAAGACCTAATGACACCAGCTGGCATTTCAAACCGCGGGAGGTGGAGCAGCATTCGAACCACTGACTCAATGGCTTGAAGTCAAGCGTATACACCAATACGTTTCAGTAAATAATTTACGCATCGGTGTGTGGATATTCATTCAACAAGGCTACAACATCAGTTATCATTGGACCGACTACAGAGAAACCATAACTTTACAATATTTTGCATGAGTAATGCAGAAACAGTTTAATAAGGCAGAAACTACCACTGTCCAACAAATATGTAAAAGCGAATGGAGACAGAGGGGAAATACGCTGAGGGTTCCAAGCGTAATCACACATCTCAGAGATTGTTAAGTGGGAACAGAGTGGGGTGAGACGAAATTGGTATGAGAAACATCAAACAACTTTTGGGTGGCTGTACAGGAATTCGAACCTGGGATCTGTTCGCTGGAAAGGTCAATGCCTAGGTCTTTTCAAGCCTGGGTCAACAGCTTTTTGGTGGATGACTCCCATCTAACAGCGCCTATTCTAAAAAACCGTGTATAATATTCCTAATCAGTATGATGAATGTCTCATTCATTACCTAAGCTATTCACTATAAACGGATAATAACCACCACCACCACCACCGTACACAACAAACTACTTGAAATTGAAAAATGATAGCATATACTACTGATTAACATGAGTAGTTGCCAACTACCTGTGCTACTTAGTACTAGTTGCCAACCAGATCAACGTGATCTCGACACCACATGGGTGTTGCATTAGTTTGCAGTTGAATTCAACTTTGTGAATTTGAAAATGATTGTCAATTAGCCATCTCAGCGATTTTGTAGCCACTTGATTTCACCACAGATCAGCCTAGTTCTTCCATCAACAAAGATAGTCGACAATCAACATAGAGAGGAATGCTACTCATAATCACAAAAGCGCACAACAGAAATATTCTAAATATTCTAAAATAATCACACCGAAATAACACCATTCAACACTGCTTACCTCTTCTAATTCATGCAGTTTACATCGTAATTCATGCGAAACCTTTTTAGCATCCGCTTCGTTGAAACGTGAATTAACCAAGTCTGTTTGTAACTGATTGATTGTTGTTGATAAGAGTTGATCGGTTTTTGCTTCACCATTATAATTCCCTGTTCCATTATTATTATTGGCTTTATTATTGTTAGTGCTATGATCACGATTTCTTGATCTTGGAAGTGTACAAAAATCATATGAACTATTCGGTGAATGATTACTATCCATTGTGAAATTGACTTTAGAATAATAATTTGGTGATCCTAAATTCATAGGATGATGATGACCATTTGTTATTGTTTGTTGGTGTACACTGTTGTCCTGAGGATTATGCGTCAGCTGATTGCTACCATTGGTTAGTTTTGTGTTAGTTGTATTATTTGATGAAGCATCAGTAGTAGTGACAGTGGTGTCGGCAGTATCGCTGGTGGGAACTGTTTTCGCGATTGAACCCTGCATTGTCGTCGTTGTTGTTATTGATGTGGTAGTAGCAGTAGCAGTAGTATCCTGGGTACCATCATTATGTATCAATCGATGATTCGGTATCAGATTTATGTCGTCTTCAGCTTCACCATTCAGTAATTCATTTGTATTCTGTGATGGATTTAGCAGAGAATATTCTCGTCTTAAAATGGCTAATTCACAACGTAGAGCTATAGCCGCTTCAGCTTCTTGAGCACGTATTAACTGACACTTTACAAGATGGTCGGCCATTACAGCACTTTCCTTCAAAGAAAAACCGATTTTAAAAAATAAAATGAGAAATTACACCACTATTAGGAATAAATAAAACAAGTGAACTGAACAAATTTGCACATAGTTAGATATGATTCAAAGTGCACCAAGATTGGTGAGTCTCGTACCTTCGTGACCAACACCACAGCAGACTTCAATGTAGGAGAAATCATGCAAGGCTAACACCAAGGACACTAAACGTATGACACTGGTTGAGGCTATGAACCCCATAATTATTGTGTGGCAGCTGATGATACTACTCATATTCACAGACAGAAGTAGGTAGGGTGGGATACGGACGCAAGACCTACTGAGTGAAAGCGAGTGTTTAAGCTAATCATTCACTTCTCCTCCATCAATGCACAAGATACAGCAGTTGCACAAGAGGTCACCTGCCGGTTTGAATAGCTCAGTCGTAACGTCTTTGACTGTGGCACTGACTGACTTGAGTTCAAATTTCCGGGAAGATATCAGTTTCTTTGAGTATTCAGATACACCTTGCTAAGTGATGAGTGTCATTACGTACGAAATCCAGCTGTATAGCTACCAACCGACTATCTCAAAACCACCTAATGATGAGTCAGAGTGTACGGCAACGACGGATCATGTGGCTTGGTGACTGCAATCCAAACTAACTGACTGAACACAATCAGCGCTAACATCACGGACTAAACACAAATACACATTTGACATTAAATATACAACCGATGACCAATCACAATACAAATATAATTCTACGTTGCGTTTCTCAGTAGATTTCGCCATTAACCGAGATTAGTCGGAGTGTTGCTGTTGGAACCTAAAGAAGATTACAGCGGTTTGTTTCATAGAAAATTCTGTTTGTCTCTCTGTTTTCAACATAGAACTTTGCATAGGTGTGCAGCAGTTCATCAAGTCAACACACTCCATGTAGCACACAAAGCAAGAGAAGAAAGTAGAAGAAATGCATATTAGAGACAGTTAACAGCGTTTTGAGACAAGAGGAATTGTAATAACGAAGAAAAGTATAGTTTCATTGGAAATTATAAGTCACAAGTAGTGGATGCATCTGCGCCAGCCATTGAGAACGATTTTGAGCCATATCACCGATTGTCTCCAGCCATTGGTTTTTATCGTCCCGAGGACCCCAACTAGGAAGTCTACACCTTCCTACGTGGTTGACTTAAACTAACTGTTGTGGATTTCATTGACTGGTGTCATGTTTTGGTTTGACTGCTGTTAGCTCTTTTCCAGCCTGACCCTATGTTAGCTAACATTGCCCGTCAAGGAAAGCGATGACTAGGCATACGTAACACGTGCATTAACCGTCTCAGAGACGGCGTAAACTGGAATATGCGAAACCAGACCTCTGTATCCGTGCTGAGATTTCGTCAGCAATCAACCCGTTGGCGTTGGCTGATGCAACTTTCCAAATAAGTGAAGTGGTCAACACGCTCCACAAACCACTTCACTCCCTATTTCTAAGCTAGGAGTCAATATAGTCCAGTCCAGTCCAGTCCTGTAGTATCATCTTACATTTGACAGCAAGAGCGAGTCACGTGCCAAACATTCATAGATTGCAGCTCGAGGTGTTTAGAAGACTGCATTTTCTCAGCGTCTTCACCTACAAGGACTATATCATCTGCATATTCTAAATCAACGAGACTATTGTTCCTTGATGGTAACAAATCAATCCCTGAGTCACTGAAGTCACTTAGAGTTAAGTCCACTAGTACATCTATGATGGAATTTAATAGAAATAGGGATAGTGGGTATCCTAGACGAACACCACTAGTTGTCACCAGTTCAGATGACAACTCGCCATAAGTTCTCACCTGGCTGACTGCATGAGTTCGAGTGGAGTGCCTTGATCAGTGCAATGTATTTTCTCGGCATTCCTTTTACAGCCAAGCATCTCCATCATAGAAAATTAGGTCTGCACTATACAAGCGAACCATGAGACCTAAGTAAAACAGCTGATCGCTCAATGATTATTAACCCAACCCCCATCTAAGCAACGAATCTACATACACTTGTTCATCCGGCTGTAATAATATTTTATGCCATGATAAATTCATAAACATTGTATCATAAAAATTATTTTTAAGAAAAAAAATAAATATTCACAAATGAAGGACAAAGGCGACAGTGAATAAAGGCTACAGTCAGCTGATTGGCCCCAAAATAAATAGACTAAGATCTACCAGACAGATAAGGTGTAATCTGTCTACAGTGGTGTAGCAATCCAATAGGTCTACTACACGTTTTCTGATTACTAGATTCCAATTGTCTGATATCAGTGACAAACAACTGGTTATGACAAAGTTAGTGATTTACTTAGACTATTTCATCGTTAAGGATATATTGATCAGTAGTCATTTGCAGGACTAGTTGCAAGTGCGTCTTACTGATTTTGTATGTAGGTGTGTGTGTGTCGCGGGGGTGGGGGGAGGTAGTCCCGTTATATGAAGAATAGTGATAATCACATAGAATACAATAAAATGCATAAATTGGTGTAGACACTCCTGATAATATCATCGGTCCAGTGCTAATTACACGGCTAATTCATATATTCCAATGCAATGACTTCTTCGATAATAATGTCAAATATGCATGCAAGATAGTCTATACGGTCGTCGTAAGAGAGAGATTCCCGTGTTACTTTAGAAGCCTACAAAAAAGTTTATTCGACGTAACGCACTGATAACTAGGTGATGTATTGTTCACAATTTGTCCTATACAGCCTTATCTCCACCCCCCCCCCGTTTTTTATTGCAGCTTTCCACATATCTGGGATAAGTGTTGTGACGTTCTAATTGCATATATTCGGCGTTGATGCGATACACAAAGACACGGTAAACAGGATTTCTTTCTCTACCTATGCATACTGCCTCTAAATACTTTTGTTCTATCCTAGCTTATTGTGTGCAAGTGAGTGCATAGCAATGGCCAAGCATCTATCTAGACTACTTAACTAAGCGGTATTCTGGGTAGATAACCTAACCAGTCCCTGTCTACTATTTCAATCCATTTAATTGAACTCATGGTTGTTACACAGTATTTATTACTTTATCTCTGAGTAAGTTGGTTTCATTAACAATAACTCAGTTGCATGTTCTTAACTATATATATATATATATATATATATATATATATATATATATATATATATATATATATATAACAGCCACTTTCTTCTATTTACGGGCAAATCGAATTTATAAAGACTTCAATAAATAAGTTTATATTTTTTTACGCAGTGTAGTACACTGAATTCCAAGGACAGGGCAGTACGTCAAACATGAAATCCAGAGATGGACGAGTCGAAATTTCGCTTTATACATTAACGTTGGTTATTGCATACACAGACAGATAAAAGGTCGATTTCATCCTTTTCAAGACAACCACTATCTTATCCGAGAATCAAGTGTTATTATTATTCATCCGACATGGACTTCAATGCTACATCTTCATGCCACTCCGTTTTCTGATATCACTTCAACCGGCCACACCGCTACCCCCCAAAAGCATTCATCTCCTCTTCACATCATATTCTTCATGTCGCTCTTATACCCATGCCCAACTCGTCACTTCACATTTTGTAAGAAGTATGATGTCACTTGAAGGTCCCCTCAGTGTGTATCAAGTGCATTTCCATTCCCTTCTGCCTACTTGTTGGCTGGCTCACTGCCAGAGTTCTTTGTTGACAATCTGATCTTTGTTACTAAGACAGCGGAGGCCAGTGTAGTAATCTGCGCGAATATGGTTTTGGTGACACACATGCCAACTATGTTAATCATATCGAAGTGTTACAAATTCAGGACTTATTCCTTATGTAGTGAGCTGTAGATCGCTCACCGATTTCAGATCATCTTGCTTCCCTGACCCTGGCTGGCTTTGATGTCCCTATCCGTGTCATCCACCTACAGCTGAGATGCTGCCTACCCCAAGGTAAATGAAATAGAAGACTTCCTTTAGATTCCCTTCCCCTTCGCCATCAATGATGATAGATATTTTTTATTGGTCGTCAGGCATCTCTTCATCACCTCTATCCTCTTTTAGTTCAAATGAAGTCATGCTGTCTCTGCCCTCTTCTGCCAATAGGTTAGTATTATCTTGTACATTTTCTCAGTTTTGCTATTTAGATAAACTTTGGGCTCTTCTGTGTGAATACATTTCACTCCTAATCTCACAGTGGAATCTCCATCAATCAGTCGGCTGAGTGAATAATCAATTTGAAATTGCAGAGCATTATTGCAAGACAGAAAGTTGATAAATATTCGTGAATGACTGCAGTTCTAACCGCATTTTGCATCTTCCTTGCAAGCAATCACAGTAACAAGTTAGGAATCATTAAAAACACTTTATTCCCGTCTAATATCATTTGGAAACGTAGATAAAATTGGATTTCTTAACTTCCTTAGTTAAAAAGAATGTTTAGTTCTATTAAAGAAGAAAAAAAGGAATAGGCAGGAAAATAAATCGAAAAAAAACCTTAAATATAAGTCTTACTTCTTCTAAACGCGCCAAACGCTGTAACAATAAACCATTTTCAGTACGAAGACGCTAGAAATTAAATGAAAAGAAAGATTTGAGAAAAAATCAAGTATTAACGAATACAAAATGAATATAGTTCAGCTTTTTAGCAGCTGATAACCACGTGACTTCAGGTCTTAAGTGATCAGTTGTAGTATATTTCAAATTCCGAGACTATATGTAATAATTTCATTCAGACATTAGACGTGGCCTTGAGCCAATAAGAGTCAGCATTTTCAAAACTTAACTTAGACAATGTCCACAGTTAACTGTCTTCAACACCTGCATGAACATTGGATATTACAGTGTAGCATAAACAAACTTGTGTGAAAAGCATGAATTTTTTTCATATTCCGTAGTTATAACTGCTTACTTGAAATTCGGATCACCAAAGTCTCTACCTTCATCAAACATACACTACTTGGAATTAATCTTTTACTTTGTTTAAATTAATCAAGGATATCACCTATTGATGTTAGTTTCACTCGCGCATTTTCAAAATAACAATTAAACCTACGGGAAGAAGGAGGCTGTAACAGTAATAGTTCATACTAGCGAGGACGTATGACTTAAACAAAGGTCTAACTCAGGACTTTGAGATTACGAGACGAGGACATAGACCATTCGGTCACGGGGATGGAATCCAGTGGCCGATTGACGCTATGTGTATAGTGCAACTGACAATCAATGTCTCCTCATACCCGAGTTGGTTGCAACTTCTCACTTCAACTCTAACACTAACAACACTTCATTCTGTAGTCAGCCAGCAGTGAGCACGAGATTAGTTTTCAAGATAACCAAACGAGGACGAAACAGCTATGTATCTCGCTTTCACAGGTTCTTTAATTGATAACAGTTAGTGATCTAACTTGTAATAAAGTTACTTACTTTTCTTACTGAAGCTGTAAGTTGTTAACAAAGTAGCTGATACAAGAAAAACATGATCTTTTTTTTACGGAGCTGTCTGAAGAAATAATGGGTGTTGTAATGAAGACTTACGCGTAATTCGATTTGCTCTTCTCTTTCTTGACTACGCATTGTCATATATTCTTTCTCCAATCTACAGATACAAAGAAACACAAACAGATAAAATAATGCGGGGGCTTAAGCTAGATATAATGAAATACAAGATGTTTGGTTGACGTGGACTAGTGACAGAATCTAGGGGACTTACATTCCATCCTATTTGGTAGTCGTCAGTTCTATGTACTCTCATTCCCAGAAAGTGATGATTTTGGGCCTGATACTTGAAACTAGGACTCATCACTTCAACTGCTGTTAAGATACGAGGACATCGTCACAGACACACACAAATACTAGTGATCCAGGTATATCCTAGCTGACGAGTCCAGCACAGGACGAAATGTGCATCCTGAATTCTACCTACTAGACACTAATTAATCAATCTAGACAAGACAAAAAAACAAAAAAAGGGTTTACAGGAAATTTACTAATTATTTGTTGTCTTGTTATATATTATCTTGGAAATTATAATTGCCCAGTGAAGTTTATTGATATTAACTGTTCCATGATGGCATTAATTCACAAGCGATAGAACAATCAATAGAACTTCGAACTAAATGAGGATAACACAAAGGGAACATCGACATCTCCTAATCTAAAAGAGATGCTACTCCCAGATGACTAATCAAGTTTTTGAAATCGTAACCAAAAGACGCATGAAAGAGGTAAATTAAAAATAAATGAAAAGACAGATTGCTGATTGACACTTTTAAGGTAGTTTAAATCGAAATATTTAGTGTATGCAGATTGCAAAACACATTTACCCTGTTTATGAGACAACCATTTTATTGAATCTAAGTAGACGAGAAGTCGACCAAAAAAGACTGCATCAAATAAATGAATTTACACCGTAGGATTTCGCACAGAATTACACCAGTTCAATTTTCCACACTTCATAAGCATTGGCTTTTTGGAGAGATTTTGTTTGATTGCATGAAGGATTTCATCAGGAGCTGACATCAGTTAGAGAACCACTTGAAAACCTGGGAGTACTGGACAGCTATTTCGTCCTAGTTTGGGACTCTTCATCAGTACGCGCCCGCCGGGGTTCGATTCCAGGACCCTCTGGTTACAAGGCGAGGTCTTAGACCATTGAGCCACTGGGACCCAATCCAATGGTCCTTGAATTCTAACTTTTACCAATTCACAACATAGCGCGACCATTTCGCAATATCTTCTTCGAAGAGTTACTGCCTCATCTTCAATCGGCTTCATAAGCACATAAGCACATAAATTTAGATTTTTAAAGTGAGAAGGAATCATAATGAACGCAAAGGTAAGGAAGAAGGAATAAATACACTGAGAATACTGATAATTTGATGAATATGGAAATTCAAAAAGAGTGAATGTATCAGTACCATTTACAAGGATTTTGAGTCATATTATCAATCAGTCTCAAACCATTGGTTTTTTGTGTTTCAAAGACAGCAGGCAGCAGGACAGTCTACATCACCATAGGCGGCTGGCTAAAACTAACCGTCAATGGTTACATGAATTGATGCCGTGTTTTGATATAACCAACCCATAATCTTTTTCAACCTAATACTGTCTCAGTTAGCATAGCTTGTTGAGGAAGGCGACGGATCGGTATGCATTACATATACCCTAACCATCTCAGCCAATGCAGATTCACAAACTTATTTTTTGACTTCCACGCCTCCCTACCAAACCAGTACCCTTCAACTAACTTCAGTATAACTCAGCATAGTATGCCACTTGAGACGGGAGATAGAATTCAGACACCTAGCTAGCCTCTTCTCTTCATATCTTGATATCCACTTTCAATGGCTATATTTCACACCCATAAAGAAGGACTGAACGATACCTAGATACCACGTCTTGGCGAAAGAGATAATTTTCGTTGGCGAAAGTCAGAAGGGCCTGTTGTATGAGTTCTGAGATTCTATCAGTAACCAGTCAGTGAGTGAGGATTGATGCAACACTTGGCAAATTAGTGAGGGGGTATAGTGGTTAGCATCCTCAACCATTTTGCTGTATAGCTTTAAACTATGAGCCGGTACACACTAGCTCTACAGCCAGATCTTACATTGACAGAGAGGTGAGTCACACGCAAAAACATTTCTTTAGGGTGTTAAGGTGACTGTTCACACTAGTCAACTTGAAAACAAATAGAACTGCTAGTCTGAAGACAGAGGAGATAGTTGTAATGTAGGCGAAACTAAAGTCTACTAACCCCCAGAGTGAATAAATTATTACATCTCATCACTTCAAATGACGGATGCAGAAATGAATATATGAAAACAGAAAAGACGAAAAAAAGAATTCAATAGTATAGAAGATAAATGGATGAGGATTTAAATCTCATGGGATTGGAGATTAACACACACACATACACGCACAAATTAAGGCATGCTAATGCATATGTATATGCATAAAGTCTACATTTCTGAAAGACAGTTTCATCCATAGAGGATACAATTCAAATACCGAGAAATTTCACACGACAGAATCGAAAACCTACACTTTATGTACTACTTGAAAAAAAATCAGAAAAAGTATTTTTTTTAAATGTTATTCTGACACGAATGTTTACAAAGAAAACAGATTTTTGGATACAGAGAATTCCTTGGGGAACGTAGAGGTTAAGGTTAGAAGATCCTGATTCCAAATCAATGATTGAAACATCTAGAAGAGTAAATGGAGCTTTAAAAAAATTGTTTTTGAGTAAATAAGTCACTGAAACTTCAAACTCAAACAACATACTACCTGTAAAACAGTATGAAAGCACGAAGTCTTGGACCCCTCATTAGTTTGAGATATGTAAGGAAGTCTACACCGGTCGCTTTGGGATTCACAGAAGACACTGACGGTAACACGGCTCAAAGTTGTTCGCAACAGCGTGAATGTATACGATCTTTGTGAACTTATGGATCTGTCAGACCTTTATTATTCCCCCCCCCATGTAATTATTATTTCTGCTGTACATTTTCGTCTAATATAGTTTCTTGGCATATTTTCTGTCTCCACCTTTATGTGTGCTTTTGTAAGTTTGGTGCAACTTGAAGTCCTTCATTTCAGTTAGTCTAAAGGTATTTAACAAAACAAAAACTGACCACATTTTATCCTATCCTTAAAAAGGTGGAGTTTTGGAGTTTTTAAGTACCAGAAGCACGAAGATGAAGCTAGCATCGACTTTCAGCAAATGGGTCTAGAGGCTACCACCTGCTTCTTCAGATTGAGCAGTTGAATAGCATCATGTGTCCAGAAACGTGTGGCCCGTAGTCCGGTTGAGGGACTTGGCGAGTGCATCACCTAAAATATTTCACATAGGAAAACTGCAAACTTTCGTCAACATTTGTCATCACTGCCTGGATACTGGAGAAAGCTAGGAAGGATAAGTAACAAGAACCTTTAAGAGGCAATGAACTAGTCAAGAACCTGTTATCCAGCAAATATGCAGAAAGAAATGGAAATGGACATACGCTGAGGAGACAGTCAAGTGAACCACACACCATTTAGGCCATAGAGTAGAACACCAACGGTAAGCGACAAGTTGGTTGTCCGACGGTGTTATAGAGGAGATCATACAAAGAGACGGGAATAGAAGTTTGTGAGCAGCTGTGGGGCGATATGAAAGTGAAGGCAGAGGACAGAATGGAATAGAAAATTTCTGCCACTAAGAAGAATGGTAGTATTACGCATGAAAAATATGACGACGCAGTGTGATAACTGATTAACACAGACCCACATACAAATAGGTATATAGTTAGCATATACTCACTTTTTCATCTTTTTTGTATTCAGCTTAAATGAACAGGCACTTTCAAATATGACGGAGGAATGTTTATCCCATTCTATTGGTCCTTCATGTTGAAGAAACTGAATAAAAACATAAAAGGGAGAAAGCAGACGAGTAAACAATAAGAAGTAAAATGCTATTTTATAATTTAAACCTCCAATAACTGCCGAAAAAAATACTGGGTTAATAGAGGGTAATATATGAGAAAGAAACTCCCGGAAAAGAGCTTACCCCACTTCTACTCATTAAGATTACGTAAGTCAAGCAAAATGAAGACTTTTTTACATACATATATGACGTAAATCCATATGTAAAATACTTCGCAGACATATTTCCTTCAATGCAGCATACACAGGTCAAAGTCTTTGAGTTGTCACCGGATTATATCAACATTATGGGGTTTATTCTCTTTTCAAAAATGTATGATATTCGAAAGTGAATAAAGCAAGCGGAGACCTACGAGTTGTCGAAGAAGCGATGAGATCGAACTCAAAAACTTTTCGACGTGATCAAAGTCAAAGCTAATTGAAACGACAACTTGTATAAAACAATATTGGAGAGAATGGTATGAAGGAGTTTCCAGGTTTTCTTCAACCACAAACGATTCATCTTAGTTGTCATGATGATTTTAAAACGGAAAGTTGAGCGTCAATCCACCTGTATGATAAAAAGGTAAACATTATCACTGATTACATTGGAATTAAGACACATGAACAGAACCCTCAGTCAATAGGCGACAGGATTGGCATCCGGGCGATTGCTTGTTCAAGATATGTTGCAATTCAACATATCAACTATCAAGGGCACACATAGTTTGACGTGCGTCGGTGGCACAGCAACAGAATGCTCGCCAACCAAGCAGGTGGGTTCGATCCTCGGCCAATACACTCCTTTACCTCGTTAAGCCAGTAATAAGACTGGTAAAGAGGGAAGCTTGGGTATGAGGCTAGCAACCCAATTCTGTGAAAATAAATACCAGTGCTACCAAAACTTCAAAACTATAGCTTGAAACCCTATGTTCCCACTGGGAACGTATACGAATTTTTTTTTTAAAAAAACAGTTCGACAGCGCAGGTACCCTCCACAAGATAAGTCAGAAAAAGGCTAGAGCGCGCATCCTTTATTCAACTGCTAAGCACCATGGTCTAAATTACATAGTCATCAAATGAGACTAGCTTATTTCCTCATTTTATTATTAGAATCCTCATTCCTTTAATCTATGACAGCTCTGAGGAATAAGTACATAAAGAGTCCCAAACTACAACGAAACAGCCGTTCACAACTCCCAAGTGGTTTTTAGAGGTTTTCTAACTGATAATACCTTGATAACATAAAGGGCAGATAGTCCGTGAATCAAACGAATAATGAAATGCATTGACTTTGTAAACTTTACCACTGGTTGAATTCTGGATATTGTTGAACTGTGCAATAGTTTAAACAGTGCAAAAAAACGATGAAATAAAGGACAACAAAAACAATTCCACTCTACAGAGAGATGAAACACTAACAGGCTGATTATTTCAGCAAAAGGGCATTATTATATAATACGCATAAACAAACACACATAACAACAATTTTGCAAAACTAACCATTATTATTATTATTATCTCAATACATTTACTTACCGCTACCATAGATTCCATATCACATCTAAGTAAATTATCTGCAGAGAATTTTAGAATTGATAAGGCCAATTTAAAGATGAATTGAAGACCCTGTACAGAAAGACAAAAATTTATCTTTTTTATTTATTTAGACACAGAAAAACTTGGTACAATATGGCACCAAGAAAGATGCGCCACACAATAATAATAAAACAACATAGATTAAAAGTAAAAATATAAGTAGAAAACGGATAAAGAACTTCATCAGGAAGGAAAACAGTCATACTTAACAAGTTCAAACAGTATTCGTTAACTATCATCAGGAAGGGAAGAAAGAAGGAAATTGCAACACGTTCGCCATTGATTACGATTCTTGGCCATATCCGATAACGTTTCGAGCTATCTTGCGGACCCCAACCAGGGAGTCGTGACACACCAACCGGTGCTAATCTAGCACAGAAATCCTTCATCCCACCACGCCACGTCATGGACTGACCACCCCTCCGCCTTTTCCATCCCGACCCAGGGCTAGCGAACAGAGACCTGTACGGAAGCCTCTGGGATGACATTCGCAGCATATGTCCAAGCCACCGGAGCCGGTGTTTCCAGATGACGACACTCAATGAATGGTGGCCTCCACTGTGTTCAAACACACGCCGCCGAACCTCAGAATTACTCATGCGATGATGCCATCGAACGCAAACAATCCTGCGGAGACAGCGATGATCGAACACGCAGACAAAGATAAGAACAAATATAGTCATTCAGAAGAGAGGAGACCGTTAACTGTTATTTCAGATAATTAACTTTATATACCTTAGCACACAGCGCGAGATAACCACCAACTTCTTCATTTTAGCTATCACTAGGGGAGAAAATGTGAAGAATCTTTCTTAAAAAACCTTGAGGAAGATGTATTCGCACATTCGGTATCCAATCCGCCCCAATCAAACGTGAAATGTGAAGATGAGGAGTGTACTGATTGATCACTTCACTTATTTGGAAAGTTGCATTTGATTGCTGACACAATTTCCGCACGAATACAAAATGCGCGTGTGACCTTCACCGAATTATATCACCGTTGACGTTATCCAACAAAAGCGATTCTGTCTGTCTCTAGGTATGGCTGTCGGATATGACCAACGAAAAACGAGGATTTGAAGGGAATAGCTGACTTTTACCGTAGGTGTTTGAATCCTACCTCCCGCTTTAAAAGGTATAGCGTGATGATTGATACTGAAGTTAGGCATAGTAGTGTTAAGTAAAAAAGGAAAGCCAACGGATGATATTGTGAAACTACATCGATTGAGATGGCTAAAACACTCACTAACCATACCAAACCATCGCCCTCCTTCGAGAACCATCTCAAATGAAGTAGAATTAGATTGGAAAGATTTACAGTCAATCAAATCGAGAGATGGTATCAATCCAAGAAGTGTCTGACTGTTTGATTGAGCCAAGCAGGAAGATGCAGAATTCTTGGTTGGGATTCTCACGACATTAAAAACTCATAGTTGGAAACTGTCTGCATTATGTCCGCAATTGTTGTGAATGAAGCAGATATATATATATATACATTCACCCTTTGTAAACTCCCAAATTCGCATTATTCTCCGTGTATTTAAACCTGTCCTAGCACATTTCCGTTCATTGTAGTCTTTGTGTTTTCTCTTTGTGGATTTATGGGCTCATGAAGCGTGTCAACTTAAAGTAATGCAATTCGGTGTAAATTTCTACGCTGAAACTCAATCAGTCCGTCACCAGGAGACGCTGAAATGATTCGGTACATAGAACTAAGTCCATTATCAAATCACCTAAAACTAGGTAACCTCATTGTTTTTTATAAATATGGGGCGTATGATTCACAGTTTAGCAGAACCTGCACATGACATGTTCTAACAGGTAAGTAGTCATGTTAACAACTAGTTTACTAAACTGGAGAAATGAAACACCGAACACACATTGTCAGACAAAGAGAGCACACTGAATTGCTGTTAAGTGGTTAGAGACCATTGGCCTACTTATTAGCACTCACATCAGGAAAGCCTCACCGCAACCCTGAAAAACTAATGCTCGAAGCTTCGAGTCAATTAAAAGTACACAGAAAGAAATAGCAAGTCACCTATCTTTATAACCAAATTGCAAGATTTGACAGGCAGAATTAAGTCAGCACCAACACCAACGACTAGACGTGACATTCGTTACTCCCTAGTGACCCACCTCCATTTGGGGCCAAAAAGGAAATATACACACTATAAAATGCAAAATTAAGACTTGCAATCAACTTTAAGACAAGATATAAACACAGAATCCCACTTTTCTTAGATAAGAGAGTCATTACCATTAAGCTAGAATACTAACTGATCTTTGTTACCTACATAGGCGTAATGCAAACTGGTTAGCAGAGTATCTTAATTTGATTTACTAGTTACAAATGCCCCCTAAAAATTTTCAAAAAAATGGTTACTGAACAAGCAATATTCTGTTCGATAACCTCCTCTTTATCAGATTCTACAATTATGTATATATAAATTGCCAAAAATATCCAGGTACCGCATACTCCATACTCCAAATAGCAGAGGCTATCGCGATTCGCCTTAAACAACTGGTGCTCTATGTACAGAAGAAGCAAGTCCAGCAAGCCACTACTACTGTCCTGACCGGCCTTCAGTGCAGGCTATAAATTAATGAATTAGTATTATTCTCTTTCCTAATTTTTATGATATTCAGTGTGTATTGTTACGTTGATGCTAATGAACTGTAATCCATTGATATTATTATTATTATTGATTCAATGTTATTTAAACAACATGAATGTTGCTAATAACACTAATTCATTCACTATTATGGATTGATATATAACTGTAGAAGCTGATGATGAAGAGCAGGTTATCGAAAAGAATATTCGCTGAGCAGAAGGAAGTTAGACACGAAGACATTACTTTAAGGAAACGGCTAGTAAGTGAAATGTGATAGCATAATCACTCACACAAAAAGAAAGTAGTTATGTATAATACGTTTTGAAGAAGATGCGACAAATGTTGCTCAATGGCTTAACAACGAAACACCAAATTAATTAGCAACAACATACATCATATATATATATATGTGATGTATATATATATATATATATATATATATATATAAAACGGTCGAAAAAAACAGCTATATAAGAGAAACTGTAGCAATTTGTTGAAGTTACGAAGTAGCCCACTCAGAACAGTGACTTCGTGGACAAAACTTCAGTGCTTCAAGAGATTAATACTGGGTCAGAGCTTTAGGGAAACACAATCTTCCACTGAAGATGCAGGCACATCACGCTAACGAGTCCCAAATAAGACGAAATGCGCGTCTTGGATTACCACTGCTAGCCATCATCAACTTATTATTATTATTATTTTCCTTCACGTTCCCCAGTGGAACTTAGGGCTTCAAGCTTGTGGCTTGAAGTTTCTGTAGCAATGTTTATTTTACAGGATGGAGTTGCTAGCCTCATGCCCAACCTTTCCTCTTCACCAGTATTATTTCTGGCTTAGCGAGGTAAAGGAGTGCGTCGGCCGGTGATCGAACCCCGGACCATGTGCATGGTTGGCGAGCGTCCTAACCGCTATGCCACCGACGCAACCATCATCAACTAGAGAACTGATTCCAAATTTATACGTCCCCACATATATATATATATATCAACATTAGTTTTTTTTCATTCATAAGCATGTCAAAAACAAGTTTTAACTCAGATGTGAGAACAACAACACTAGTGATTGATTTGAAATGCGAAAATGATTACATAAGTGAAAATGAAATTAACTGGTTAGTCAGATAATAGAGAAGATTTGTAGCTCAGGTGGATGATTTGTAATTAGTAGTGTTCTCTGAGCTGGTTGGTTCAGTTGCGGAGCTTTCATCATCCTTCTGGACAACATCTTTAGCACATATTATTTATTATTTTAACTCAATTACATGTAGCAGGTGTCCTTCATGTACGCGGCTAAGAGGCACATTTATCGTCTGAAGGCTGGTAATGATACTGCTAACTCAGACTGAAGAAGTTGTAGTGGGACTCCACACCGAGAACCATTCCATTGGTTGAAAATTGATTGTTGAAGCCAGTGAGTCATTTCCACTCTAACAAAACTGATAGTGAAATTTTATAAAACTAAAAAGGTGGTTTATGTGTGTGGTTAGATCTTCTTGATTGTCAATGCACTAAGTCTTGATTCAGAATGATTTTGCCGTGGGGTGTGTGTGTGGAGTCTTTTTACGTGTGTACTGGTGATCTGTAGTATACTTGAGGTTTGAAGTGAGACGGACTGTTCATTGAAGAAATGGCTTTCTTATTTTCACAGTATATACAGATGTTGGATTAAATATTTTACTTTAGTCAGATTTATTAGCTCAATAATTACACTCTCATCATAATGGTTTTTCAGTTTTCAATATGAATTGCTGGAGTGCCAAGATAAAAGGAAACAATTGAGTTTTATCGGACGCTTAACAGATTTCGCTGAATAAATGAAAAGCTATTCCCGAAACAATTTATAAGCATTGCCCTTAACTGACTTGGATATTGTGTCTCTACTAACACACAAAACTTGGTCAGTGTAACATATGAGAGAGCTTTGCATATTATTATGATTATTGTTATTATTCCTTAGGGTTCCTAGTGGAACACAGGGCTTCAACAACACATGCTGAGGTGGAGTGCAGAAGATTCCCAAACTAATTTCGGGTTGATGAAGGCATGCGTATCTTCCCTTTCCGATTCTGACTGGCTGGCTTTGGCATCATCTGTTCTGCCTGTAGTTGAAACGATGTAACCTCTGTTAGATCTCTCCTATTGATAGAAATTGGTGTTGGTTGTTGTTATGGTTGATGGTTGGTTATCCCCATCACCTCCGTCTTCTCTATGTTCACCTGAAGTCCTGTCTTCGCTGCCAGCCCCTTCAGCCAGCTTGTTGGTTTTCGCCTGTACGTCTTCGAGTTTGTATGACATTAGATATATATCATCTGAGAAATCCAGATCTTCTAGAGTCTTCTTACTGGCGGTTCAGCGTACTCCTGTGTCCTCGCCCCCAACGCACAGCCTGATGCATAATCCAGTCCACCACGAT